CACACACACACACACACACACACACACACACACACACTGGATAACTAAATAAAATTTTAAAAAATATATTTGCTGTCAAAATATATTTAGTATGCTTGCTCTTATACTTGGAGGTTTAAAACTTTAGCAAATCCATTAATCGTCTTTTCTTCAACAGAAAGACAATAATCTGGAATTTAAATGGTTTAACGAGGAAAAGAAGCTGCAGGGATCAGGAGAGACACTTACAAGGAAAACCGACGATGTGGTAAACACTCGCTTCTTTTGCAATGTTTCAAACTCCATCAGCTCTGAGATCAGTGACCCTGCTGCACAAAAGTGCTCAAAACCCTGTAAGTATTATTTCTATCAACTGTCCATTCAAATAGTTATGACACTGACCATTTTACACTCATGTCATGATAAAATATATTTCTTCTCCTCTTGTTTTATTCCTGAAGCTTTTCCTAATGAATTATTTGGAATTAGCATCTGGGTTTTCATAGGAGGCGGAGCAGGTACGTGTCATGTTCTGTGCAGTCGTCAGATTATACTCTGAAAAGCATTGAAATCAAGCTTCACATACAAAACCAATGAATTCTCTATTTTTTCCATGTGTAATACAATTGATGTTATTCTCCATCAGGTCTTCTTATTTTGGTGATCGTCACTGCCACAGTTTGTTGTGTCCGGGCCAGACGAAAGAGACGCATATGATAAACGGTATTTACTTATATACTGTTATCATTATCATTTTAGTTCATGTTAAAAATATAAGCCACTGCGCTAAGACAGAACATCTTAAAAACTATTTTACTTACGTAAATGACTTAGTTCACCCATTTACAGCCCATCCATTCACCATTCATTGTGCATGTAGGTTACTTGAGGAGCTCCCCAAGGCTCAGTCTTAGGTCCATTAGATTTATATTATTTGTACTTTGATTTTTTTAGGGGTTATGGTTAAGATTACTTGCATTCAGTTCAAAATATTTACATACAGCAGATAATGATTCACTTCAAGGGACTTCAAACTTCAAGTTGCATAGTGCAGGATTTCAAAAAGGAGAGATCACTTGAAAGAATTGAACATGATTTACTGAAATGAAGAAATGAATGAATTTGGCGATTAGACGCTGATGACAGAACGGAGCCCCAGCAGTGACTGGATTTAGGACAGGACCCCCCAGTGTCTAGATGCTGGGGATGGTGAAGATAAAGACTGAGCCTTTGATGGAGCTCTGACTGAAGTGTCTGTGAGATGGAGATGGAGAGGAGGTCGGTTGCACAAATTACAGTCTGAAAGGTAAATGGCCTGTATTTATATAGCGCTTTTCTAGTCCCTAAGGACCCCAAAGCGCTTTACATATCCAGTCATCCACCCATTCACACACTGGTGATGGCAGCTACATTGTAGCCACAGCCACCCTGGGGCGCACTGACAGAGGCGAGGCTGCCGGACACTGGCGCCACCGGGCCCTCTGACCACCACCAGTAGGCAACGGGTGAAGTGTCTTGCCCAAGGACACAACGACCGAGACTGTCCAAGCCGGGGCTCGAACCGGCAACCTTCCGATTACAAGGCGAACTCCCAACTCTTGAGCCACGATCGCCCCGAAATTGACGGAAGAGACTGAACACCCAGAGAAACTGATTACAGATGTTACTTACTGAACTTATGCATAAGCTTCATGTTCACTATTCATGTTGCGGGACATTGTTTAAATGAACATGGAAGTACCAGGACCTGTGCAGTCCCTGGCACAGAAATGTAAACAGTAGCTGAGAGGTGTGTTTCTTAACACATAAAGTAAATGCTGTGTAGCTACTCTAAACAATTGCAGCTGATCATAAGATGTAAGGTAATCATAGCTTCATTTTTTAATTGAGAAGTTGCTGGATTGTTCTGGCACGATGAGTTGGTATACTTTCTTGTTAGTAAGCCAGCTTGATTCATTTTTGGGTGTATTATTCACTTTGACATTAAACTATAATAATAATAATAATAATAATTTTACATCATTAAATAAACAAACAACAAAGTTGGGTTTCTAATTTTATGCCATTTGCTTACATTTGTTACTTTGTTTAAATATGGTGAACCTGTGACACTCATTTGAACAACATCACTGCGAGTGCGACTGCTTCTTCTGTAAAACTATGCTGTTATCCCTACATTTAAATGACATCTCGTCTCTTAGCTGCTGTCTCATTCCTGCTGTAGCTGGACTGCATGGTTCTTAAACCAGATCTGACAAACAATGCTTACTGGCAACATGCTGAAATAATGATGGTCTTAAAACAAGATTAACAAATAATAGTGCACCAGAGTCATTTTTAATTACATTAGTTAACATTAAATACACTTGGAGCGTTGCGATTCTTCAGTTCTGGGATCCAGGGGCCATTGCCAGCTCTGATTGATGAGCTAAATTCTCCAGCATGGCACAACATTGTTCATTCTTTGTAGTATGGCTGCAAAGGAAATCAGATTCTTTATATTTATTATTGTTTCTAAGCTGACACGGGCCCGTCAAATCCATATTCTTACATATTCTTAGCAGTGGCAGGTTTTGCTCTTTTCTTGTTAAAAACACTGAAAGATGATTCTGCAGGTCTGACCTGCCGCCTATGCTTATTTCAACAGATGGCAGGTCAGAGACCTTTGTTTGCAGTGGACGAATCAAGAACAGCAACAGCATCACCTTCAGCAGAACCACTTAACAAAACCACTAATCTCT